TGAAAGATTTTGGATACATATTTATGCGCGAATTTAGCATAAAACCAACATTACTACAAGAATGAAGAAATGTTTAGCACAATATTGATTTTTAGTGTACGCAGCAAGCTTAAATTGACTTAATTTTTGGTTAAAAAATTCACTTGTGTGTGGAAACATGTATGTATGCACATAAGGGTGCCTCACAAAAAAAAAAAGTACGGATTATAAAATCTATTATATTTTAAGACCTGCCAAAATATTTCTAAAAATCTATTTTTTTTATAAATAAAATACGTTTTTAAAAATATTCTTTTTCCTGAGATGATAGAAGAGTTAAAGCTTAAAATATCTGCGTAAAAAAATATAAACATTAAATACTAAGAACGAATTCAAAATAGTGAGATTTTGGAGGTACATATTTTCAAACCAATTCAGCTCACCCAAATACTTATATTTTTCCGAAATATTTAATATAATTAATTAGAAAATAAATTATTCTACAATTCCTATGAAAAAACTAGCACCGATTTTTTTTATGAAGAGTGCTGCGCCCTAATGTCTATGCATATACTAGACTGGGCTAGAAATAAAGTTCGCCATACACCTTCAATCGAAAGTTTTTTGCAAGACAATTTCGAAAAAAAAAATCTGTCGAACTTAGGGGTCGCCTTTTTATTACACTTTTCGACATATCTTCGGTATTTACCGTCGAATCTTAAAGTATGATGTTTTAAAAACTTTGACTCGAGAAGACAATTTGTTTTTGGTTCCAAAGTTCATTGACGTACTTGAGGTCTCTAGTACTCACCTAACAGATCTCAAGTCTTTTCCCTCACGTACCACCCTAATGTAAGTAAATTAAAGTACACGAAAAATTATTCAACTTTTGCTAATGAAGTATTTCGATTATTCCAGTAGAACTATTTATACTATGTATGACGAAAGTACTTACATGGTTTTGTAGATAGCAAAACAATAGTGGTATTCACCAAGGTGAGCAAGTGGCCAGTGGTAGAGCTTACCACTGTAAAAACTGATTTGCAAAGTTACCTTAAGTAACTCTCTCGTGCCGTCTAACGTGGGTTTAACTTGAAAAAGTAACAGAAAAACATTGAGATCTCCTTGCCAAAACCCAACTGTAAGTCTTAAGAGCGTGTCAGACTGCAATTCGCCTTTCGGAAAGGTGTGACTGCTCATGCAACTGCTTTCTGAAATTTCTCAATGTAACAGCTTTTCGAAATATATTGCCACGGCTGACACGCTCCTTAGTTACCTCAAAACTGCACTGTTACACTCAAATTTAATGGGCTACAAAACTGCATACCAAAATTTTTTTTTTTAAATTCTGATTGAAAAGTTTGAAATTTTGACGAAGTTTCCTAATTTTTGTATGAAGTTCGAAATTCGGACTTACATGGCTTTTGTTAGATAGTGAGTTATACTTTCATATAAATAAATAAAACTTAAAAAATAGCCAAAACTTGATAAAATTTGGCATGCTACGTAATTTTTTCTGTTACGATTTTTCACGCCCTTAACTCCGATTTAGGCTTACCGTAGCATCTAATTTCGATAACGACTTACATATTTAATTACATAAATTAGTTGCATTTTGTCAAATCCAAAGCTAATTAATCTGCGCAACCGCAGCATTGCTAACTAAAGAAAAGTTTCTCATATGAATACTATACTACAAGAAAGTCACAACACTTTCCTGCATTTGCCATTAGGCTGCCTCAATACCCTCTACAAAAGTCCAACATTCATTTATTTATTTTTATTTTTGTATTAAGTTTAATTTCACTTTGGTTTCTAATTTGACTAACTGATTTTGTATGCTGCAGCATGCTGCTCCATCACACAACGCTGCTATGCATAAAAAAAAAATTTGTATGCAATTGGCATTTAAGACGAGCAAAGAAAGGAGACTGACTGACTATACGGACTATGAAGTGAACAAAAGCGGTAGCTTTCTTTGCAAAGGCTTGAATGCGAAAGTAAAAGTTAAAAATTTTGTAAAGCAATAAAAATAAGTAATCTACATAAATTCAAATCATTCAAAACGATGTAGAAAGAAATTCATTGAGACAAATATTTTAAACGAAAAAATAGAAAATTAGCCTACCAAAACAGCAGTTTATGCAGTTAACATAGATTTTTAAATTTAGTAAATTTTCAGCATAAAAAAACGAAAATAACGCTTTTTCTGATAATGCATAAGTATGTAAGTACATGTGTATGTATGTAGTTGGCTACAAAGGTCGCGGCAAAACAATCCATAAACACTGCAAAAAATTATGGGACTAACTTATAAGGAGCGTAGGTGCGGATTGATCTCCATTGGGCATTTATTATTATATACGTCTCATGTATTACTGTACTAATTAGTTCTCGACCAATCTCTTTACTACTAGGAATCGCGTCTCTTATTTATAGGTCTATCAGTCTCTCTAGCGTTTTTAGCAAAAACGGTCCTCACGCAGTTCGCATAAATAAAATCCACCCGATTTTACGACACCTTCGGAGCCCTTTGCAGCTGCTCGTTCCCGGCGACTTTAATGGTTTAAACGAATTTATCGCCCAGGCGATGTGACGATCGTCCAGAAGAGCGAAGAAGTACAAAATATCGCCAAGAAGTACATTTGTTTGTACTTCGAAGAGCGAAAAAAGAAGTACTGTACTTCTGACAGAAGTACGGTTGGTCACATTATGTATTAGGGCATACTAGTTAGTAAGTCTTCGTTTTTATTTTTTACCAGGTGGTAAGGATTTTTTTTCGAAGTACCATAAATTACAATATATTTCCAAAAGTTTATACAAAATATGGAAATATGAGTATCAGTTAAAAGAAAAATTCAAAACAAGATTAATTATAACTTTTGTTTTCTATTATCCTTTTGAAAAATGTCAAAAATGTCCTTTAAAAATATTATCCTTCAAGATTTTTAATTTTGTATGCATTTTGAAGAATCATGGTTTAATTTAAATCCTATAAATATATATAAGGACATTGAAGGATAATAATCGCAAAGGATATTTTAGTTTAATTAATTTGTTCTATGTCCTTGGGGGAAATCGTGCCATCGTATAAATAATTTAAAGATGTAGATTTACTAGAAATGCGCTAAAATATGGGAAACATATCGCATTGTTCGCATTTCCAAAGTTTTCATGGACGATTAATTCAAGTTATTAAATAAAACTTCAACTTCGTATACGTATATGCTATTTAGGATAAAAAGCACAAATCAAAATTTGCAAACAAATTTTTTTTATAGGTATATTCTTGGGACAGTCTAATGTACATGCATTAGGGTGGTCCAAATTTTTTTTCTGAGGAGAAAATACAGGCATCATAATGCTATTTTTAGCAATAAATAAATATTTTTGGACAACACCAATATACATACCCTATAAACATTTTGGCGAACGTTTGAAAATTACCTTCGATATCCAATATGAATATCGAACTGAGAACGAACTCATAACCAACCTTAGTTTTCCAACGTTCATAGTGTATTGGAAATTCATTCAAGATGGGTTAGAAAAAAATTAAAACCATAGTAACAAGAGAGGAAGTGAAATCCAGCTCATTTTCGAATGGAAATATGATACAATCACTCTCTCTCATTAAAATTTCAATTTGATAATGGGCTGGATTTCGAATTCATAACGGTTCCGTTTTGCTGGTGAATGGCCTAGTTTTCGAATCGAATACTAACATATTCCACATTCGTTATCGAAGGTGAGACTTGAAAAAAAATGTTAGTTTTCCAATCATTTTCGAATTGTTAACCAATCCCAATGTTTATTGGGTATTTATGCATGTGTGCATGTACGTAAACAGCATTCTTATGTTTTTTTTTACGGGCGGAATATGAGCTCCCAGTGCTTTCATCCAACTTATACACATACATATGTACATACATACATATGTTGCATGAAGCATGGCAATATATAGAATTTTCTCATGGTTAATGAGTTTTGGTAGATAGCGAAAATATTTATAATGAGTTTTCGCAGCAGGAGTGTGATTATTAAAAAATAAATGCATACGTACGTATACATACCTATTTATGGATGTGTATATGTGCGTACATACATACATATGTTAAGTACGTTCTAATGCTTTTGCGTAACATAACTACGTCAAATATCAGACTGAAAAATAGTTCTGCCCAACGATTTTTTGTGCAAATAAGCGTAAATAAAGTTCAGATTAGGTAAGGTTAAGGCGTCGATCCTTCCTTAATAGAACTCGGATGCTGGGTCTTGTTATAAGGTCTCCATTTTTTCAACAAAGAGGTTTTCTGTTCGCTTGCTCTGAGTCAGTGCTGCCACAACGATTATTTATTTATTTTATTTTATTTTTGTTTTACGAAAATCACCTAAAAAAGTTATCAAATAAAACATTACCACTCGAATTCACTCGACAGTGTATGGATGGATACCAAGACGAGCTGTGGTTTCCATGGAATAATACTCCAAGAATAATAGTAAGATTTGATTGTCATAACGAGCCCTTAGAAACTTATTCAACCGGCTTAAAGTTTATGACATACGACTGTACGGCACTTTACGATACTCTGTGAAACGCCTAATTTAATTTTTATTATTTTAATTAAAATTGACCAGTTCGTGGTTTTGAAGGCTAATGAACCTTGGGTAATTGATGTTATCAGTATGGGCTTTTTTTTTTAAGGGGTTATGGTAAAAAATACCATCGGCTGAAACAAGAAAATATTAAAAACAACACCGTAATCGATTCGTTCCGCTGCTCGCCTATTTCATAAATTAATGATTTTTGTACTAAAAATATAAAATATGTAAATTAATATAATCCGCTGTATTTTACAACTACCCAAATACCAATTAAAATATTTTCTAATTTTTATTTATTTCTTGCTTACTTTCATTCCCACGTGTACCCGTTATCGAAACTAACGATTAACGCTCGAACCAATCACGAAAATTAATGGAAAAAATTGCCTAAAAAAAATCCAATAAATTAACTGCAGGCGGTCAACTGTGGAAGGAGGTAAAGCAAGAGGTCGATTACTTGTTGAAGCCACAAGTGTTGAGTGAAGCCGAGCAGCATGTACGCGCCGCAAATCTATCGCGAATTGTTCTCATCGACAATCTCCAAAATGCCATAGAAACGGAAAATCCCAGTCAAGCAGAAATCGCATCGTTCCAAAATCGAAAGGGTAAGTCTCAAAAGTTTATACTCGTAGCTAAGTATTGCAAATGAATTACAGAAAAAAATGTGTAGTTGGAAAATTTGCGCAATTCAAATTAAACGACCAACAAAGTGCTGCTACACACTGCTGATCAGAGGCCTGCGCATCTTCAGTAGGTGGGTAATGGGTAGTGTTTAGGCGAAAAGTGGAGTGTATATACATATGTATATGTTTGTACTATGTAAGTGGCTGTATGAATTGGCAAAAGTGTCAGGCGTAAATGTGTAACATGTTGACGCCGTCACTAGCAACAATTCACACTTTATTGATAGCGCACATTCACAGTCGCTTTTTGTTGCTGCATACTTTTGCCAACAAACGCATAGTGCGGTGCTACTGTGACAAAACCACTAGTTCTAATAAAATATAGTGGGCGAAGAAGAAGAAGAAAACTTTTTCAAAACTCGGCAAAAAGTTATATTGCAGCATTGAGAAAATCAAAACGAATTGCAAATTTCAAGGGTTGTAACATTTCCCACTCGTTCGTTTTCTTATCGCCGCCTTCATGCCAAACTTTTGCAGTTCACACAATTCGAGTTGCAACGGCTGCAATGGCAATAATGGCCATGGTAATTGTGTGGCACTGGTTGTTGCTGTTGCTGTGTATTGAAAGTGGTTTGTTGATGGGCCGTTAGTAACGCTGAAATGGCGGCTCTGTGCTCCGCGCGTAGGACTGTCATAAGCAGGGCAGGTATGAAAAATTACGTTTTAGCTGACAATATGGCACGCTTAAGACGACAATGCAAAGGCTATGCGGGGAGGGGAAAAAGGAAGAAAACCATGCAATTCTTATACGCCTGAGTGCTTTAAGGTGCTGCTGTTCGGCACAAACGACTTCAGAAACTTTACGTACACCCTGGCAAACTTTTGTTTTTTATTATTTCTTGAGTATGAGAAGTGTTAGTTAAATGATTTGAATTCTAATACACTTCGAATGTTTGAACATGTGACCCCACAGACTTTTGGGCGTACTAACTAATTTATCGAAAATCAACACGAGCGACTGTTGCCACGAAAATGTCGAAAATTTGTTGGTTACGACTCTGCGCTTTCTTAAGGGGAGTTGGCTTTTTGACACCTTGCGCTCATCGAGCGTATATGTATGTGCACTAGGGTGGTCCAACAATGCATTTGAAAAAGTAAAGTCGGAATTTTATGCTCTCACCCCCCTAGGATTCTTCTATACCGAAAAAATATACACGTATTTTTTTTGAAATTTGTTATTATTTTATATGGGAAAAAATAACTTTTCGTAGAAATAGTATAGAATTCTTGAAAATCAATATTTTCCGATCGAAAAATTCTGTTACTCTTCAGGAGATGCCCAATAGTAACTNGGTGAAGCAGTTTGGTAAAAAATAACGTTTCTTCTTTAACAGGTCATCCGCAGATAACCCATATGGAATGCTTATTCATCCCATAATTTAAAACGCTCCTTCGAGGTGTTGCTGTGGGAGTCCCTTTTGTCTCTCGCTCGGTATTGGGCTAGCTTGGTATTAGCCTTGATAATTCCCTACATTGTTTTTCCATGTCTGTTAACATTATGTAGTATTTGTTAAACGAAAACTTCCAAAAATACTCAAAAAATACTTGTGAAGGAACATATTTTTTGTGGAAGTTTAACACCATAGTACTGCTTGTTTATGTTTTTATTTTTTTCGGAACATATTTTGTTTGAGTACTTTTTTCATGTATACAGTGCTCAAAATTTTCACTTCTCTTCCTTCCATGCCCTCTTTGTTAAAGTATGAGTAGTTTACATATTTGAAAAAAACTTCACAGTGAAGCAAACTGAATTCCGATGCAGACCTTTATTAGATACATATCGTCGACGCCTTTGCAAAACCGCCCATCGACCGCTTGCAAAACCGCCTATCTGACGGAACTCAAATTTTACAGGAGAGCGAAAATACTTTTTCCTATTAGGCATTGACTTTGTTTACAAATCTATTTTTTAATAACGATTTTATGAATAAATCCCGATGGGAAGTATGTATGTATCCCTGGTGCGTTGAAATACAGCGTATTTTCCATCAATGAATATTCCCGACATGCTAACCGTTTCATAATATTGTCCTTGAAAGTGCAAGAATAGGCGCCATTAGTGCGTCTTTTATATAAATATGTACATCATATATTTTTCATATGTAAATTGCGTAAATTAAAAACTGTTGCATTTTAACAAACGCAATCAATCAAGCGGCCTATTGACTTGTTTAATCAATATAAAGCAATTCCAATTTGGAATCGGAATAGTGAGTATGCGCCCCCATTGAAGCATGACAGTGCAACCCGATACATTTACATAAGTATGTATGCAAATGGAACTGCAATTAACGCAACCCCCATTCAGCAAATCGCACAAAGAACAATGACCCAAAAGTGGCAAAAGCAATAATGTGTGCGACCCCAATAGGTGGGATGCCACTTTCTAAGCCCGCATTTATGCATATGTACATATGTACATATTTAGATACATTTCTATTACATTTTCTTTCAAACTTACATACAAATGTAGTTGGATTCGAAGAAAACGCACGCACCCTTCCGCATTTAACGCCAGCACTTAGAGGCATAAAAGTCAAGCCTTGCAGACGATATGCAATTTATTGCACACTTTGTGCATTTCCGGTGTCTACTAAAAACATCCATATGTATGTATGTGGAACTTTTGGCCGTGCTGCGCCTTGATGATGGGGGAGTTGAGTTCAACTCCCAACAGCATTGCAAAAAATTATCTTCCTTCTGCTTGAACGAATTCAATTTGTGCGTCAAAAAAAAAGCCAAACTTTGATTTTTAAGTTTTTTCTTTATGATTTATTTTATTTCTAGGACATCGTCTGACATGGAAGGCCTACCATCGCCTAGCTGACATACACGATTTCTTCGATGTTTTGGCTAAAACATATCCGGATATTTGCTCAGTGGAAACAATTGGTTACTCATTACAGAAACGTCCGCTGAAAATCTTGAAGTGAGTATACTGAAAAATTGTAATTGAAAACATTCAAAAAAAGTGTTGAAACAAAGTTTATTTATTAACACTTTCTAAACTTCCTTCCACACGTGCAAGACGGTATTTCATTTCCGGCTGTTTATAACTTTTCACTTTTCACTTTTTCAATTTGCAGAATCTCCAACGGCAATCCGGGCAATCCAGGCATCTGGATCGATGGAGGCATGCATGCACGCGAATGGATTAGCCCTGCAACGGTAACATTTATTGCCAATCAATTGGTTGAAGGTTGGGACGATATGCCTGAATATATGCGCAATGTTAACTGGTAAGCCATGAAAACGAAAATCCGCAATTATTGCAATATTTTAATAAATATACCCATTTTTTACACTTTCACATTCCACATTTGACAGGTACATACACGCTGTGGCAAATCCCGATGGCTATGAGTACACACACACCACTGATCGCTTGTGGCGTAAGAATATGCGCTCTCACGGGCGCCAATGCCCGGGAGTCGACTTGAATCGTAATTTCGGTTACAAATGGGGAGGCAAGGGTACATCAGCGAATCCTTGCTCGCAAACTTACCGCGGTAGCAAGGCCTTCTCCGAACCGGAGACATTCTACATATCGAAGTTTATTAGCAATTACCCTCGTGACACCTTCCATGCATACCTCTCCTTCCACAGCTATGGTCAGTACATTCTGTACCCATGGGGCTATGATTATCATTTAACTGCCGATAAATCGGACTTGGATCGTGTTGCGCGGCAAGCGGGAACGGTGAGTGAAAGAAATTTGCATTTTGTAATATGTGCGAAAAGGAATCTATGGGTATGGGCACTAGTAGCAAAAGGCAATGGCGTTTTCAATTATACAAAAAGTTTTGCATTTTCATTGCCCTAATCTTAGTATTTGTGAGTAGAAGACAAAGAGAAGGTACCATTTTTCGGAAGAAAAATTCAATTAGGTTGTCAGCGAAATGTAAAATATTTTTCATGCCTGAAGACTCGTGCGTGATCTTATTCTATAATGCGCTACTCCAAAATGATGAAGGATGAAGAGACCATCGATAGTAATTTCGAGCATATCAACGAAGCGTAGATTTTTTTTTTAAAGAATGCATAAAAATTCAAGACCGTAGCGGTATCTCACGATGAAAAGAAACAAGACGAGTTAAGGGTTGTTATAAATAGATATTAAGCCGAAAATATTTCCACAACCTAGGCAGTCCAGTCTTCACAGTGGGCAAATACCTTGCTCTTATGAGTGTCAGATCGAAGTTTCCGAAATTTAGTTGGTATGATCTTCACAATAATCCGAACTCTATGTTTATACTAGCTCGTTTTCTTTGTTCTCAGAAAAGGGACTATGATAAGGAGGCTCGGAACCAACATCAGTGCAAAAGAGTATTCTAATTCGTAGGTAGATATATATTCTACCGGAGCAGGGTACAATTTGCTAGACTGAAGGAAATCATGCATTCAAAATTTGATACAAAAAGGTCTCAAACTCAACTGAGTAAATCAACCAATTAATTAGATAAATCAACATACTACAATAAGTTGGTACATTGAGTGAAGAAACTGTTTAGATATGGAAAATATACATACATACATAGTCCATTTTGCAGATTGCACTATCAAACGCAACTACAGGAGCTAGAACATTGCTACTCTATGTATAGCTAGGCGAGCCTTACCCACAGATCTCAACAAGAATCATCAAAACTGGAGATGGAGTGCCTTGGCA